GTTCATCTATTCTTTCAGTATGAAAATTTGCATTTCTATAAATCTTGTTTTTAAAAAATCAGGGAATGTTTGGCTTAGTGACTTTATTTTTTTTCTTTCAGGTAATTTCTTTGAACTGAACAATCTAGAAAACAGAAGTTACATCCGAAGCCGAAATGTTCTACACTATTTTTTGTCAGAGGAATGTGGAAGTGCCTGCAACCCTTTGCAGAAATAAAGCTATATATACTTATGTCGAGACTTCTCTTTCTTTATGTTTGGAGATTATATTACACTTAGAAATAGCCATGGAATCGCAGGCTGTTTAGGATTTTTTTCTTCTTTTTGTAGAAAACTAACCCTGCATGTGGCTGGAGATCTCCTGCTATTACAACTGATCTCCAGGCGACATATCAGTTCACCTGGAGAAAATGGCTGTTTTGGAAGGTGGACTCTGAACCCCTCCCCTCCCTAAACCCCACCCTCCTCAGTCACAGGCTCCATCCTAAAAATCTCCAGGTACTTCCCAACCCGAAGGTGGCAACCCTATGTAAAGGGCTAGGCTAGAACCTGTCTGCGTGATATACTCGTTTTTTATATGCCTGCTACTTTTTACATGGGGAGATATTGAAACTGGGACTCCCTCCACCTACAGCCCATTCTACCACTTCATGATTCTACCTCCTGCATAAACTAGGCCTAAGATATTAGAGTTAAATGGAGGGGAGTAAATTCCATCAAGCTCAAATGAACTTGACTGACTGAACTCAGCATGAACCTGACCTGAAAGAAGAGAAGGCAGGTAACTCAGGAAGTTGATACCTTGTTTCTTTCAGTCATGTGATTTCCTCCCTGAGCACAGGATCCTTAAAAGAACAGAGGCGTGCAGCTGAGTACGGCCTATTTGATGTCTTGTGCCCCAATTGTTATAGAAGAATACAGCTCCTTCTTTGGTCTGTTTCCTCACACAGCTCTTCCTATCTGCCTCTGGATTGTATTCGGTCTAGCAGACAGCAGTTGAGTGGTCTGGTCTGTCTTTGAACTCAATTCAGAATGCCTTGGCTGCTTTATCCCTGAAGCTTTAGAGCAGGGTTGTCAAACACACGGCCCATGGGCTGGCTCTGGCCACCACAGGGCTCCTATCAGTCCCTTGAGCAACTGGCTCCCTTCTCCAGTTTTGCTACTGCTGCATCGAAGCTTGCTTTGCCAGACTCTCTCAAATCCCCAGGAACCCTTAAAAGCCCCCCCCCCCCCCCCCGTTCTCTGCTTTGGTTGAGGCTCCTCCCCTCCTCCTTCTAGGGGGAGGGAGGGAACAAGCCAGAGCTTGCTTTCTGGCCAGGCTCCCTCAATCACACAGGAGACGAAGGCAAGTCTTTCTTTCCTTCCATTGGCTGAGGCTCCTCCCCTTCCTTCCCCTTTGCTCGGCTGCCTCAATTGCACGGGAGAAATACAAAGCACTTTTAAGACCAACGATGTTTTATTCAAGGTATGAGCTTTTGTCTGTCTTGCTGCAGTGTGTGTGTATTTTATTGGGCTCATTATGCTGTGTGTGTGTGTTTTGTTGGGCTTGTTATGCCAGGGCTCTCCTGGGTGGAACTGGGTTCTCCCCTCTTTTTCACTGTATTCATGCCCTCATGATCCAGTCTTTCTCAGCCGGAAAGCAATGTGAACTGTTTAGATGAGGAATAACAACAAGCCAGTGAGGTGGATTAGGCAGAGAGTGTGTGTCCAGAGCATGTTCACCCAGCACATTTCCATTGTAGACTGGGGATCTTGAATCTAGACTTCCCAGATAGCAGGCTGATACTGACCACTATGCATGGCTGTCTCTCTATTCTTGCACTGCCTCATAGGAGTTGCAGTTATTTTTCTGGGAAGACTATAGTTTTGTAGACAAACATATAGCCTTCACTCTGTGTCATTATGCCTTCACATGTTCTTGACCAGCACACAAAGCAATTTATGTACAAAAACTCACAATGCCCAGCCATTTCATGTTTTCCCCTGAGTCCTAGGCTCAGAGCACTCACCATGAGTTTTCTGTAATGAATGTCAGTAAATCAAAAGTAGGTTTGCTTATAAATACACACCTGAACAGCATATTAAAGATTGCTACAGCACAGACATTTTGATGTAATAATTCAGAGC